AAAAAAAAAAATACAGTTTAATGGTTTCCTTCAACCCCAATTCCTGTACTTTTTCTTCCCTGTCCATTAATTATGACAAAAATTAACAACAAATTCTCAAGGTTATTTTTATGTAATAAAAGTATTATCTAATTCTTCTTTCCTCTCTCTTTTCCCCTTTCAACAACTTTTAAAGAACTGTTTCCATCAAGTAAAAAAAGCAGAGGTAGAATAAAATAGATGATTGACTCAAAAACACTGTTGAAACAACCAATAACCTTTTGTTTCAACTATTTGCTTTTTAATATTTTCTGTGGCAATTATACACTAGAAAAAAAAAACTTAAAAAAAACCTACACCAATTTTTAATCAATTAAATCTGTCGTTTCCTATTTGTCTTCTAAAAATCATTTCCTCTACAACATTCCTGTCAACCGTTACAAAATCTCACTGTATTTTTTAGATTATCTATCATGCGTTTCGCTTTTTTTTTTTTTGCGACACTGAGAATAAACCTCAATCTCACTGAATTAAGAAAACTGTGTCTATTGTACCGTGTAGGATCTGCCATAACTCCAATAAGAAGCTCATAGACTGACAACAGTTATGATGATTATAACTATGCTTTTTAGCAATGCAAGCGACTTCGCTATGGTTGCTTCAAGTCTTGTCGACCTTCACCTTCTTAAATGCATTGCCCTTTGAAAACCAAGGTTTGATAATTAAATTAGCTTGAAAAAAAAAGCACAAATTGAATTTTATCCACAAAGAGAAAACTAAATCTTCCCGAAAAAAAACTTTTTAATGCCACTTTACAACAGTCACTTTAATACCAGCAAAGAATAAAGTTTAAAAGAATAGGTTATCAGTTCCACTTTGTCAAATCTTTCCGTTATTATCACTCAAAAAATTACTAGTTACAGAAGTTCAAAAAAAACGGTTACCCGAGAAAGTGTTGCTGAACGACAAAAACAAAGAAAGCTGGATAACAGAGCATGTAAGCAGTTCTTGAAAACACAGTAAAACCAAAACCTGACTAAAAGAAATTTTGATTAGTTTTGTTTCCTTTCTAACTTAAGTCGTAATTTATTTTTGGCAAAATGATACATTAAATTAGACCAGTCGAACTGTTAATCTGCAACTATGAAGACCCACTGATACAATTTTTCTTCTTTTTTGCAATACAAAATGTCGTTATTATCGGTAATCCCCATTAACATTTAGGACACTTTGAGCGAACTAGACAAACAAAATAATCAACAAAATTTGATGACAACGGTAACAGAATATCGTTCCCCACAACGATGGTTACAGGTATACTGAAGATCATAGAAAATATGAATAAGACACTATACTTTGTTAGGAAAAAAATTTTTACTGGCAACAAAGTTTAGGAGTATAATGCAAATGTTGACACCAAGCTGGACGAGATTGAATTTGCTGAATGTGCATTAACTGAATATGGATTGTCCCCACGAGTAATCAGAGATATCTTCCACTTGGTCGACGACGATGGGGACGGTGAATTAAACCTCAGTGAATTGACTAAAGCAAAAGTCTTGCTCGAAGACATTGCTCGACGACTTGCTGCTGAACTTTTAAAGGTTTCATTTTGTATCAGAATTATAAGTCATGACAAACGTGGTAAAACTTATCAAACTGTTACTTAGTCTGTGTAGATGATAGCGTTAAAAGTTCAAAAAAATGGTATCATTTGAAGAATTTCTGTCCGCCTTTCCTAAAACTAGTAATAATCTTATTTAGCAATATGATACAAATGGTGACAATCATTTATCAAGAAAAGAAGTGGAAAAACTTGCCGAAGCGATGTATCAAGTAATACCAGAAACTGCAAAAGCGATACTTACGAAAACTGGTGAAGGGATTGAAAAGGTTCAAATATATGCAAACTGTGCTATGCTCATAAATTACTTATAAAAAAATACCGTCAAAAATCTAGAATTTTAAAGTGTTAAAACCATAGATGATTAGTTTGCAACTTGAAGAACAATAATTTTCCAATATTTCAGTTCGGTGAGGCAGAACTGCTGGACTTTTTAACAAAACTACGCAAAGAAGCAGCGGTGGAAGCACTTGACAAACTTTCTGTAAAAATTTTTTCTTAACTCATTTAAAACAAATTCACGATTGTAGACTATTAGGATTTCACCACTACAAACTTTAGAAAATTCACGAAAAATTCAAGTGTCTAAATATTTTTTATAAAACTGCGGTCATTTTAAAGTGACAGAAACAATTATACAGAAATTAATACAAATACAGACAGAACGGTTCTAACGATGTTTATTTTCCTACATCATAAACAAGCCCCCAACACCTAACTTTTATTAAGTATTTTTTGTTCTCGAAAAAAAAAAAAACAGATTTTGAGATGACTGTGCAAAACCGTTATAAAATTAGTTAGTTTAAGGCAATAATTTTGTAACAGTAACAAAACTTCCCACTTAAAACATGTATTTAGAAAATTGACCTTAACGGTAACAATGTGGTAACTGCTGATGAAGTTGAAGCTGCTTATAAAGAAGACATCAAGAAACCTTTCCTACAAAAGATTTTTCAAGAAGTCGACATTAACAAAGTTTGCTTTTATTGATAACTAAGAAGACGAAAAAAGAGAATACGGATTAAAAGAATTGAGTAGTAATGGTCTCATAAAGTACTGTAACAAGCAGATATTTTAGAATGGAATCATTGATCCGATTGAATTCGTCTCTTTTCAAAACATAGTAGCGGTTGGACCGTCTCATAATGAAAAACAGAAAAAGTTGTTGAAAAATGGTAAAACGAAAAAACGATCTAAACGACAAACAGGTAACTTCTTTATGAGCTAGTGTATTAGAAGCCGATCTTAAAAATCTCTTAGAAAAAAACTGTTTAAACTGAAAATCCGATACCAATCTTAGGTAACTTCTTTTAAACAGGAGAACAGCCCTTAGTCCTCTCACTGGATCCAACTGCTGCTAAGCTGGACGGCGATAACGATGAAAACAGTAGCGAAGAAGACACTGAAAATCCTCAGCAACACAAAACCAAGTTTGAACGTTTCTTGGATTTGTTAAAGAACACATTCGACGATTTAGTTGAAGGTTTGGAAGCAGAGAAAGCAGCAATGAATGCAACAAATGGTACATTCATTCCAACGTTACCGACACTAGCCCCATTACCAACGCTACCTCCAAATCTGCTGAACTTACCTGGCTTGAACAAGACCAATTCCAATTCCACTGAAGAACCAATCTTACCACCTATTAAACTGCCGGTCATAAAGCTCCCACCTCCGAAGCCACTTTTCACAGGAATTCCAAACGCTAATTTGGAGTTTCCAACAATAAAACCTATTATAGAAACTGTACAAACTACAGAAACGCCGCTAAATAAACCAAATGGTTTGAAACTTATTTTCAAAAAGAAGAAGGAGTACGAAAAATCGGCTGACAATGCGAAAAAACAGACAAAAGGCGATACAAGCGAACAAGAAATAAATTCTAAATCGTTCGAGTTTAGCGAAGATTTATTAAGCCATTCAAAATCAGAAAGCGACGTCAAGAAAACCGAAGCGGAGGAGGAAATAAAGCACCCGAATGTCAAAACAACAAACTCACCTGTAACTGAGACGACGACATCTGTCCAACCTGTAACAGATGAAAGTAAAGTTCAAATGCCCAATGATTCCGAACCAACGACTACAGAACCAACAACCGAAACGCAGTCTCTGGACAAGAGTGACAATAGTGATGCAACAGATACATCTACAACTAGTCCAAAATCCAAAAACACATACGAAGGAGAAGACGAGGAAGGCTATAAAACTCTTAAGGCATTTGCTTACACTGAAGACGCTTTAGGATTTGGCAAAGATCTGGTCCTCCAAAAGAAAAAAACGAAAGATCAGAAAAAGAATTTAAAAGTAAAGAAAGAAAACGATGAGGATGTACCTGACGGATTTAGCAAACTAGCAGTATATAACATCGACGACGAAGAAAACTTTGAAACAATACCTGCTTACAAAAATTATAAGGAGGATGTGTGGGGTATGCCAACCATAATCAATACAACAGAAACTGAAGAAGATTCAGATAATCAAAATAGTTTGCCTACAACAGAATCAGCAGAATTCAAAATAATACCAGCTGAGGGTCCCACGGAGAAGGCAGAAACCACGAAGGAAAGCGAAGAGGATGATTTCTATGAAGAACCATCCACTACAGCCATTAGTATCACAGACACTGAAACAACGAGGAACGAAGACAGAGGAAAGGACGATCTAACACATGAAATTGTACTCTCAAAAGAGATAGCTAAAACACATGGAGCACTTCTAGAGGCAGTGGAAAAACAGGAGCAGAAAGACAAACACGACGAAGAAAAGCCACCACATGACACCGCTTCCAAAGTAGCAGAGAAGGAAAAAAACGAGATAAAAGCAGAAGAAAAAGAAGGTAACCAGTTAGAAACAACCTCGTCACCAGTACCTTCAACTTCTGAGAATCATACTAGCAATACTCCGTTGAATGCTGCCGATGAAGAATTGAAAGAGAATTATGTTTTTAAAATTCCTGTTGGGAAAACGACATTAACAGCAGAAGAAGTCAGAATTATACTAAAAACGGAACAACTTATGAAAGCTGAAAAAGACAGGAAGTTGAAAGGCAAAAAAACGGATCTTCTTAAGGCTATCAAAGGTACAGAAGAAACTGATTCAGAAGGCGTGCAAGAAAGTTCAAATAACACTAAGGAGCAAACGCAAAGCAATATGGTGAGTGGAAATGAGACCCAGTTAAAAGGAAATGTGATATCTGCTGAGGAGAAGTTAGAAACATCAGCCAGTACAGTGACCTTTTATCCAAAAGCAGATGCCGCACGAAATAATCACAATAACGAATCTGAGACGGAAGAGGTTCTTGAGTACCATCCAATTGTGATAAAACTTGACGGGTTTGATGGAAGAACTGACCAACCTGATAAAGTGCAAGGGACATCAACTACCCCAGCGAATGAATCATCCGGTAACGAACACGAATTAACTACTGAAAATGAAGTCAAAGCAACTGAAAAACCTGATGAGCAATCGACCGAGAAAGCAATAAACGACGTCTCTAGCGGAAATGCCAGCGAAAAGAGTGGTATTGAAGACGAACAGGCTAATTCCAATTCAATGAACGAAACAGATATGAAAATAAATTCTACTAAAGAACGTACAAACCCTGAAGAAAAATCTGAAGGACTAGAAATGAAGAAGGATGGTGAAACTGAAGAAAAAAGCAAAGGGAAAATTAAAGAGAACGACCAGGAAGAAAAAGCTGATGAAGACAAAAGAGAAGAGCTAAAGAAAGAGGAGACACTTTCTGACGAAGTAAATCAGCTCTTAAATTCAGCACTTGAAAGCGAAAATCAAGCTAACGAAGTTGTTCATAATGAAAGCAAGGTTAAAACTGCAGGCACAGAAACGATAATTGTCAGTGACAGAAACGATACCAGCAACGGGCAGAAGGAGCTAAATAATACAGTGCATTACCCCAATGATGAAGAACATCAGAACATAACGGCCGGCGAAGGCGAAAAAAAACCCAGTGAACAACCAGAAGGAAAAGCATCAACTCAGGCCCCCAAAGTTCCAAAATCAGATGACCTTGGCACTACAGATCAGAACGAAGCTGTGAAGGCGCTTCATAGTCAGGACAAGACTATAGATGAGAACTTGAGGGAAATGATGGTAATAGCCAGCCAACTGTTGAATGAAAGTAGTTCAGAAGGGAGCAGCAGTACCGTAGGAAACCACACAGCTAAGGACGAAAAGCAGTCAGAAGAAAAGATAGAAAACTTCACAGAAGTAGCAGTTACAGATATAGCAAAACAAAACTCTACTGATGTATCTACGACCACCGACGGGCCGATAGAAACAAAGAGTCTACAGAAGCAATCAAAGACGGACGAGATACGAAGTGAACTAAAGAAAACAAAAAAAACAGATAATGTGGCTCAAGATCAGTTGAACGAAGAAGGTAAGGAACAAGCTTACTGTCAGTAATACAAAGAACCGCTAATGTAGGCAATCATATTTAGTCAAAATAATAGTCTGTAACTTGCTACTACCGAAGTAACTAGTTAACTAGTGTTCAACAACTACCCTATCATCACTTGATAGTTCTACTTTCGAGCAGCCGCTAATTAATGTAAAAAGGGCTGCTAGTACAATAGGTGTGGGTGGTGGGAGAGTCGGCTATTGATCTCCTATAGATAAGATTTGACTTAATGAACTGATGATTGAAACTACCGTTACTGTAATTCAAGTGCCAGTTTGTACTCAAGTTTAAAAAAAGCAATCTGTAATGCTTTAATTGCCATCGTAAAACGTAAACTCGATTCCAGTAGCCACCGTAAAGAACAGCCTAAGTTTGAAAAGCAGATAGAAAATTTTTTGAAGTTTTTGATTCTTCCTTCCACCAAAAAATTAGAAGAAAGAAGCCAAAAACACGGACGCACAACTTTTATCAGCAAATCATTCTGGAAATCTAGAGCTTAACTTTTTCAGGTTCTGGACTTTCAAACGACGAACCAAATGCAGCATTCCAAAGTGATGTCGACTACATTGCGGTACGTTGTTAGGATAAATCTTACAGTATCCAAACAGTAAACCAAACTTTTGCAATCACTCAAGAACTATCGTAGCCAAAAACTGATCTAATGTTTCAGTATATGATGATGAAGGATGTTGAACCAGATACCGCTCCACCAGTGCCACTGTTCCAACAGGACCTTAGCGATGAACTAATCGCCGTCGAAGCTAAAAAAAGTTTAGAGAAACAGCAAAGAATGGATAACAACCATCAAGGCGGTGACGCACGAGCACCAGATTTTAGTGAAGTGCTTTCCAAGACTGTTGTCGACGAGGAGAGCTAGATTTGTGTTCCGTTTTCCCAGCCAAAAAAAATCCATATTGGAGCTGCTTATCGGTGAAAATAAATTCGGGTAAGCTATGAGTTAATAAATAACTGATTTTTAACTAAATTCACATAATCAATTCTTTCTGGCAAGAAATATTACCAGTGTAAAATTATTAGCTAACAGAGCAAATCTTCTAATTAAGTCAAGTCAACAATCAATGTTGCCTCATCGGATAAAATAAACTAAGAAAGTCAGAAGAAACTCAGAAATTAAACCAAAGTCTATTACTTTTTTACATTATTTATTTATTTGTTCATTGTTTAGTTGTCAAAAACGTGTAATGTTTTCTTTTTATTTGTATATTTGAATATATAGCTTCTATGCCTCTGCTTGTTCAACAGTTCAAATAATGAACATTTTGTTTTATTGAAATAAAACGTCAATTATTAAAACCACTTCAGTGAACCAAAGACTTTTACAACAAGGCACCAATTTTTCATACTAGACTGTGCAGAACATACCAACGAGCAAAAACAAATTATCAAAAAAAAAAAAAAAAAATTAATTAATTAAATAAAAACAGAGTTAAAGAAAATGAAGCAAAGACAATCTGACATCCAAAAGAAATTACTACTACAAAAGTTCAGAATGATTATAAATTCAAAAAATATAAAATTAAAACTTGAAACAAAGACAAAAACCACAAGCTACCTGCTGGCTAAAACGACTGCGATAAAACTACGTCTTTGCAAACATCACAATCATACAGCATTTGATAAATTTAAAGCGGTGTCCAAAGTTCTGTTGCTGACAGTCAAACTGTTTGCCTACAAAAAAATTTCCAAAAATTATATATGATTAAAAAATAATCATGCAAAAGTTGCTGCATCTGAACACCCACAAATTACCGAAAATCCATATCATACGCCTTCGTCCTACCCACTTTGTTTCATACAATAAATATAGCAATTTGTGTATTGAGAATAACATTAATAGAACAGCACAAAATTTAAGCAAATATTTTCACAGTACTTCAAAAGACGGGAAAACAGAACCAACATTTCACTGTACCACAGTCCAACGAAAAAAAACACAGCACACGACAGGAAAGATACAAAAAGTGGCGTGGCTTAAATATAACTGAAATACTTTTAATTAACGAGTGTAATGCAGGTGAGCATAAAAAACTTTGTCATATAAACTTCAAATGGTAAAACAAACAAAATCTACTGAAATTTAGCAGCGAGCGTTTGCACTACTAAAGATGTAATTCTTTACAAAACATGCCGAGACAATAAAAAAAATCATAATAATACTGTTCAAAGAGATGGTGACGGCTCAAGTATATATCCTGTATTTTATGATACCATTTCAGAATGTAACGAATTCGATTTAAGGGAAATGAATAACAAACCAAGTGTTCTAACTCCAAGCTATTTTAATGCTCAGCAGAAAATGTTTAATAAATTGTAAGAAGCACTGGTGAATAGGTTACAGCAGTTTACGTCTACAGTGTCCATCCAAATATATACATTAAATAAAGACCAACTGGGCTTGTCCAAGGAGCAAGCCGAGGTATGCAGAAATGTTCTTCCTCTGTCACCTGTCATTTAACATGGAACGCCTTCAATGAACACCTTTACTATTTCAATCAGTTTTTTGTCGCACTTTGGACAACTGCCCCCTTCTTCTAATAAGAGAAGAGCTTTATCGTAACAACCAATAACGCAACCGCACCCCCCCTGACCTCCGGCCACTGCATTCATAGTATGACATCCACATAAAGGGCATTTCGTCCTAAGAATCGGAAGATTAGCAACTGCCTCAACTGCAAAGAATTTTAATAAAACAAAGCTAGAAGAAAGATAATTTTTACTCTTCACTAAGATGAAATTTACCAGACAACTCTGTGGTTTAGAAAATAAACAGTGCACATTCCCCTCTAAATTATAATGATTTGGACTATTTTGTACGTTAATTTGAAAAGTATTCTGCTGTCAATATTTAGAAGAAAGAAAAGACCTATCCCAGAAATAAAAGAGAAAACAGAAGATGAATCTCGTAATAAAAATTTCTACAGTAAAAATAAAACTTTGAAAGAAAAACAAAAAATTTACAGAAAACAAATTTTCACAAAAACAAACAATCTTGTGCAAAATCTAATCTTTACTTACATTAAAAAAATCTATTTTCAAAAAAGATTTTGCAAAATACTGATAGACACTAAAGCAAACGGATAAATATTAATAGTCTCCAAAATCGACTTAAACGAAACTACAACTGGAGTGGTTGCAAAACAGATAAAAATGTACTATGTATTAATGCAGTATACCTAATAAAAGTTTAGACATTGAGCGAAAAAAAGAATCAGATTTCGTCAACAATTTACAGCTTAAATTTACTAATTAATCGTGAAAGACCGCTTCGAAGCCTCATGAAGTCTCTGAAGGAGGAATGTCAGCTGAGAGCAAACAATTTCCTTATGAAAAAACTGATATGAAAGTTCTAGGGCATAACCTATCACTAGAGAGAAAATTAATTGAAAACCATAAAAGGAATTGCACTGTCCAGAAAAACCAACTTAAGCAAAGCATGTCACTTTGATAACTTACTTTTATGGCGACAAATAAAACAGTGGATGCCTGTTCCATCGAAAAGTTTCCCAGCAGAAGAGGATCTAAGTGCTACTTCATCTAACTCCCTTCTGTAGTACTCACGACAACAGCTCTCACAAACCGATGCATGTCCACAAGGCAAAAACACCATCTGAATAGAGTCCTCGTGGCATACTGTGCATAACAACTTTTTCACCTCCTAAATGACTCAGAAATAAGCAATAACATCAAACCAGCAAATACTAGCAAACCGTAAAATAAAAATCTTCTATATGAACTCAACAACTAAATAACAGTATAAAAAGAATATAAGTAAGAGATTCCAATCTCTTTTTAAATAAGCAGGCAGTTTTTATCTTATGGGACCTCGAATGAAACCTAAGCAAGCGCAACAAAAACTCAGGATGTCGCAATCACACCCGTACTGCCATTGCTGGTCGATTTAGAAAAAATCCTTTTGTCAGGGAATATTCTGACATCCCTTTACAAGAATTAAGAAAAAAAATCAAGAGCGTCTTC